AGGAGTTTGCAGGTGAAGATACATCTGATCTGTTTTTGGAAGAAAGAGAAACAGCCCTTCGACAGGCTCAGGAAGAGAAGCATAAACTTCAAATGTCTGTCCCTGGCATCCTTAATCCACATGAAATTCCAGAAGAAATGTGTGATTAAAATCAAGTCATGCTGTTTTGTTTCTCTATACAATTCTTGTTGGCAGAAGAAAACAGCATCTGGATATTTGTTGACCAAAATGATGCCAATTTGTAAATTAAAATGTCACCTAGTGACCCTTTTTCTTATGTGTTTTTTGTATAAGAAATTTTCTGTGAAATATCCTTCCATTGTTTAAGCTTTTGTTTTGGTCATCTATTTAGTTTGCATGAAGTTGAAAATTAAGGCTTTTTTTAAAATTTTACCTCATGCCCATTTTGTGGCTGGGATGGGGGGAGGAGGTAAATTTGATTTGAACATATACTTGTAAATTCTAACGCAAGATTATACAATTTTTCCTGTAAACAATACCAGTTTTTAATTAGGGAGTATTTTCTTTCTAGTCTGTATTTCAGTCTAGAAGAAAAAGTAATGAGTAAAACAAAAATTGCGTTGTTAAGACGATTGTAGTGCTGCATCGTCTGAAGTTAGCACCTCTTGGACTGAATTGTTTTGTCTAGACTACATGTATTACAAGTCTGTATGGCAAGTTTGCAGCAAGATCATGTGCATATCATCCCATTGTAAAGCGACTTCAAGAAATATGGGAACACAGTTAGTTATTTTTACATAGTTCTTTTTGTTTTTGTGTGTGTGTGCTGTCGCTTGTCGACAACAGCTTTTTGTTTTCCTCAATGAGGAGTGTTGCTCATTTGTGAGCCTTCATTAACTCGAAGTGAAATGGTTACAAATATTTATCCTGTTAGAATAGGCTGCATCTTTTTAACAACTCATTAAAAAACAAAACAGAACTCTGGCTTTTGAGATGACTTATACTAATTTACATTGTTTACCAAGCTGTAGTGCTTTAAGAACACTACTTAAAAAGCGAAATAAACTTGGTTTACATTATTATCCCTCTATTGGCTCAAAATTATTCCTGTATTAATGAAAGCAGTTATGTGTGTTTAAGCCAAGGCTTCAAACTAGTTCAGTCATGGCCAGTGCCTCAAAATAGCAACAGACTGAAATTTGTAAAATACATGTGTACTAGAACAATAACCAGAATGGGAAAAATTACGGATCGAAGCCCGGGATGAGAGAATCGGAAGAGTCATAGTGAGCCCTTTCAGGAACCTGATGCAGAAGTTTGGTTTATTGCCAGAACTGTAGAGAGCATTCAGAGCAATGCATCCTGGTGTTGTATTTGAGCCAACCAAGCACTACTGTTTCCTACTCTGCCAGTCAAGAGATTTTATTACTATGCAACACACACTACCCTAGTTTTCTAATGGAGATTATGTTTCTAGCAGGACATTGACCCATAATTTTTCCCATCCAGTTATTTCGGTATAGCCATATTTTAGAAATTCAGATCCATTCCAGCCATCGGTACAAAGCCCTGGTTTAATCATCAGATAACATTTTTAAGTGAAGTGACATTATGTTGACATTACAGATCAAAGTTTAAGCTTACTGTTAGGTGTCAAGGTTGCAGTTGTGTAATGTGAACATGTTCCTTGAGGTACTTATGCTTCCAAGAAACAAATCCTTTTTGACGGTTTGACTCATTTTGCCTTTATTTGGGATTGGAAGGAAGTACCCTCTCCTGACCCCTCTGCTTAGCAGCTAACTAATAAAGATAAGGGAACATCCTTAGAATGAGACAGAGTTGCAAGACACCATCAGAGGTATTCTTGATTGATTTTATTCTTGTAAAATATATCCCTTAAAAGTAAAACCTTTTAAAATGGATAAATAGGTATGGAGATAACTGTGAAACAAGAAAGGAGTGGGGGGAAAAACCCAGCTTGGATGATTCTGTTTCTAGAAAATGAAATTAGCTTCATCCATGCCTAGACTGAAAACTAAGCATCTCAAGTCTGCTTCATGTTTGTAGGCAATTTGTAGAATTGCTTTGCTCCTAGTTGTATGTCTTTGGCAAAAATGTCATATGAGACATTGGTGCTTCTATGGTAGAATTCTCATCCTCCCTACAGAAACCTGGGTGTGGGGGGTAAATGCACCTCGAACACAGCCACTGTCATTGGAGGCTTGCATATTGTTGCAGTATTGTACATGTCAGCAGAGCTTCCAGACTAAGATGTACTAAGAAGAAAGGCTTAGGTATGTACTATGGATAACAACTGTCCATTCTCATTGTGCATGAGGTCGTTAGGAGTCACGCTCACTTCATGGCAGCTAACCACAGTAACTGATGAAGGAGATGGCACAGGATGGGGCAGCATTTTGTTTCTTGTATGTTGGGTCACTGAGGTCAACTGGAGGGTAGTTGATAACATAGCATTTAAAAAAAAACCTCACTGCAGTCAAGTTGAATCGGACTCGGAGACACCTCCTTAGGTTTCCGAGGTGGTATCTCTACAGAAGTAAATTGCCCAGTCTTCCTTCTGAGGAATAGCATCTGAGTTTGAACTGCAAGCCTTTTGGTTAATAGTCAAATGCCTTAGGCACTATGCCACCAAAGCTCCCCAATGTAGAATAATCCTGCATAAAATAATTTTTCTACAACAGCAAATGGTAAGAATTGAAGTGCATTCAAAGAGGAGTATTGGAGATTGCCTCCCATAGGGGCCTGCTGAAAAACTTTACAATTTCAGATCCAATTTGGGTTACTAATATATTACTGGTATTTTACATAAAAGTGTCTTAAGGAAGTTTTCATTGACCCCCCCCAAAAAAATGAATTTAGCCAAGAGAGGTCCAGAATGTTGTTTCCAGTTGAATTAGCTTATGAAGTCCAAAATTTTGATTAGCTAAGAATAGCTGTAGTTGTCCATATCCAATAGTAGACACGTATAGTGTTCTCATCTTCCACCTTTTCACCCACCCCTTCCCCAAGAACTCTTGAAGTATTGCAGATGTTGCAAGAAACCAAGCTTTGGCTTGGGAACCAGGATAATGCACTGTGAATTAGGATTGATAGCAGCTGGGGACTCGGTCACTGCAAGTTTACTACACTTTTATTTTAATGAGGATAGCTACAGACCAAAAACAACCATTTAAAATATGAAAATTCAAGGAAAATTGAAAAATAAAACATTTCTGCAATATTTCTTTAAAGTGGTTCTCATCAGAGATAAACTCAGTTCTTTGTACAAAGATTCTTTAGTGAGTATTGAGCAAAACTTTAACAAAAAAGTGGGTAAAAGATCATGACAGACTGAATCAAAGTGGGAATTTCTCGCTTAATTGACTTAGCTTGTATTTGGACTTACTCCGTGTATTTGGCAGCAAAGCACACCTAGCTATTCTAGATAACTGGCTTAAAGCTATTTCACTCACTTTTTAGAACTAGGAAGGGGGGTGTCACTTGTCATCAATTGTGAAGAACTAGAATTCCCTTTCAGGGTGAATAGGTTAAATCCTAGTCTAGATTGATACTAAATATTGAATCTTGAACAACCATTTGAACTCTGAAATTAGCCTGAAAAATGAGATCCCAGGATGGGTGGTTGTGAGGATTAGGTACAAACCTTTGCAAAGATGCCTCAATTTTTTTTTTTTTTTTTTTTGGCTCAAATTTTCTTAGCTGCTTTTGAGTTGGCCCCAACTGATGGCTCTTTGCACCACAGTAGTGGACCGTTGTGATCCGTAGGATTTTCTTTCTTTCTTTTTTTCCAAAAGTAGGTTGACAGGCCTTTCCAGTTATCTTAGTCCGAAAGCTGTGCTGAAACCTATTCAGCATCAAACAACAAGCAGGCCTCCACTGACAAATGGATGTTGGCTGTGTGTGGAAACTTGGTCTGCATGGGAGAATTCTGCCACTGAAGGAAGTAAGAAATGGTGGTTCTGTACTTTGAATCAGGGCCACTGAGAAGGCCTCCCTGAAAAGGTAAGGTAGAGATGCACTAGCTGGAAATCAAAATCAAGTCTCCCACACAGGTGAGGATTCTACTACTGAACCATCATTGCCCTCTTCCATATTTTAACATCTCAAGTTGGGGTATATCTCAACAATCTATGGCTTCTTAATATTGCTGGTGGCCAGCAGTACTCCTTGACATTTGTCTTTGCCTGTCTGTGTGTGTTTGGTCATAGCTGTTTATGTGCATTGTGAGTTTAATTGCTACCTGAAATGTCTTCAAAGTGATGGTTCAGCATCAAAATGAAATGTTATTGTATATGAAAAAAGGCATACAAAAACAGGACATAAATTTGATAGGAATCAAATGTTCATTGATGGAGGATAACTACAATTAGATATTTTTTTGCAAAGACCAAATTTTTTTATGGGACCTAAGCAAAGAAGATAACCCACAAAATACATGCAGAAGAACTGTATACTAAATACCAAACAGTTCACTGTTTTTCAGGAGAAATTACAACATAGGTCAGAACAAGTTTCAAAAGAGAAGAAGCTGCTATAACAAATTCGTCCATTTTGCAGGACTGTCATAAAGCTATGTTGTCATAGTTGGCAGTGTTCTCTCAATCTCTGTGGTACATAAAATAATAGTACATCTTAACAGTCAGTGTTAGACTTGATTAAATCAGTAAGTAACCCAAATGAGAGCTCAGCCTTCACAGGTTGTCCTTCCTCCATTTTCAGTCCAATATACTTTGAGGGAAGGAGCTCTGGTGGTGCAGTGCCTAAGGTATTAGACTGCTAACCAGGAAGTTGGCAGTTAAAACCAACCAGCCGCTCTGCAGAAGAAAGATAGGGCAATCTACTACTTTCATAAATATTTACCACCTTGGAAACTCAATAGGGGTCACTGAGTCATACAACTTAATGGCAGTGGGTTTTTGGGTTTTATCCTTTGCAGGACTTGTTTACCCAGTATGCAGACATTTGGTGGTTGGAAGCCAACATAGAGATAAGTATTGTTGAGAAAACAATTTAATACTGAAAGGAATCAATTGGTCAAATTTGGTATACTGTAACAGATTTTCAAATAAGTTATGAACTCATAACTTACTTGAAAATCTGTTACAGTATACCAAATTTAACCAATTATTTCAACATGTAAAGGCCTACGTGTTTATGGAAAAAAAGG